ACACACACACACACACACACACAGCCTGATAAGAAGAAGTCAGAGCGCTGGAAGGGAAAGGAGGTGGTGGACTGGAGGAGGAAGAAGAAGATCTCTCTCTTTCTCTCTCTCTCTCTCTCTCTCTCTCTCTCTCTCTCTCTCTCTCTCTCTCTCTCTCGTGCGCGCGTGCGCGCGCTACCTACCAGGTACTGACCTGCGAAAGGTGGCGCTTTGATGCAGGTAAGGACGTGCTGAAGACAAAGCTGGGGCGATGGCGTGGCAGGTAAGTCTCAGGTAAGTCCCCTGGCCTTCGCCACAGTCTCTCTCCTCTCCCTGCGCTACTCTAAGTCCTATTAGCGCCCAGCGCTGGAAGACTACTCCTATCGTCGACTACTACGTACTGATGTCGTCCTGACGAATGCCTCTGCTCCATCCTCTACTCCATCCCCTGACCTGAGGCCGGACCCAGCTATATATAGCGCTGGGTCGGCCTCAGCTGCTGAGTCCTGGCGCCCAAACTGAGGCCGGGCCTCGAAAGTTTGGCGCCCAAACTGAGACTGGGCCTCAACCGCCCAAGTGCCTGCTGAAACGGCACAGCTCTGGGTCAGGGTCTGGCCCCCAAAATGTGCTCCAGGGCCTGAATCCAAAACGAGGCCTACAGGGCCTCTAACTGGTACCGGTCGGCCTAACCTAACCGACAGACCCTACGGGCCCTAATGCGGGCTGAAACGACACAGACCTAACCCTACTAACCCCTAGCCTACCTGGTTGGGCCCTGCTGGGCCCGTGTGGAACTGAGTATGCCACACTTCTCAGTCTGACACTACAATCTAAGGAAATCCAAAGAACTCTGGCCCCTGGGTAATGTATTCACTAAAACCATCACCTGAGTGGTGGGGGAAACTTGTGGACATGCTCTCCTGAACCTGATGGAATGGGCGAAGGCCAAAGCTGCACCAAAAGCTTCTGATGCGAGGACTCATTGCTTTGACAGATTGAATAGGTTCTTACATCAATAGTCATGTCTTCTTTTGTTCCTTGCCGCAAATCGTTCCAGTAACCATCAGGCCTTGCCTTATTCCACCCCATTCACGAAAAAAATGTCGGGAGGGAGGGGGATGAGGGGTTTATCCCCCATAGACATCCACCTACCTCCATCCCCTTCCTCCTTCAACCCTACATTTTCTTCAACCTCACCCAACTTCCACCTCCTCCCTCCATCAACCCTTGATCTTCTTTGGCCGCACCCAACCTCCACAGCCATTCACTTTCACCTTTCACCTTCAATCCGCCCCATACAACACCCATATCCATGCACCGTCCCCCTCCGTCACCGTTGAGGATCAACCAACCTCCTCCTCCTTTCTCCATCAACCCTTCTTCTCCCACCTCACCCAACCTCCATAGCGGTTCACCTTCACCCTTCATCCTCTTCCACCTCCATTCATCCTCCATAGCCAATCACATTCTTCGTCTTTGTCCTTCACCCTTCATCTTCTTCAATCTCCACCTAACCTTCATTGTCATCCGCCTTCACCCTTCACCTTCTTCCACCCACACCCAAGCTCCATAGCCAATGTCCTTACTTCTCCTTTGCACTGCACCGTCATCCGGCCTCCATAGCCATCCTTCTCCGCCGTTAAACTGTTCACCTACTTGACCACTCGACATTGCCATTCCGCTTACCAGATTTCGAGGTAGGTCATCCTGATCACAGTCATTGGCATATCATCATCCACATGTGAAGCTGCTGCTGAAGCCACTCTAAAGATCCCAAGGGGGGAGGGAGCATGAATAGTTCAGAAAACTCAAGTTTCGGCCAAACCTGAGCTTGCTGGGTTTTTCAGCACACTTCCGCCGCTGTGATAGGCTAGCCTAGCTGCAGAAAAAGCTTGAGTTTCTGTTGCAATGTCTGCACTTACCCTCACCAATTTGCAATGAATTGCAGTATCCAGCTGGCTGTACACTAACTGCGGTGGTAGTTACCTTTGGTTGAGGGCTTCGGGGCTTGATCCCTGTACCTGTCTCTTAGTTAATTAGTTTTCTAACTCTGTGTAGATTTGACCTCTCCAGGTTTTGATCCCTTGGCATGTCCCTCAGTGGGACTTTCTGCAATTGTGGTAGGTTTAGGCCCACATTACTTTTGTTTGCTGCTTTTCCCCTTTTCCCTGTCTTCAGTCTAGATCCGGTCCTAGGCAGTAGGCTGTCGGTCTTAGGCTGTAGGCTGTCGAATCCTGTAGTGTCGAGGGGAACAAAAGTTTGGGGCACGAGGGAGTTTGGGTTATTTGGTGGATTTTTCTTTTCACGTTAGGGGAAGAGGTCGCGTGGAATCCTGCTGCGCTAATCCAGCACTAAGGAAGTTGACGGCCATAACCGTTCTGCTTGCAGACAGCCAGCGCTGGGCATCAGGCCCTGAGTGCTGTAGGCGCCTCCTCTTATCTGTGCCGTTGAGGCAGCACTGCCGTAGAAACTCTTGTTTGAAGTGTTTGTCGACGTGGCGCCCATCTTCTTCTTCATCAAGTTGTTCTTCTGCTTCATCCTGGGAGCCGTGCTCCCCTGTTGCTACATGCTGAGCCTGCACACGGGCCCCATTTGCGGGGCCTGGCGGTTGCTGAGGGGCCCCCAGGCTGCACGCCATCCAGCACGCACCCTGGAGGCCCACAGCGGCCCTCTAGGCCGCAGGTATAGGGTGAGGCAGCACTCACTTGTTTGTTTATTTATTTATTTATTATTTCTGTGATGTGCTGCCCTATTTTTGTCGGTTCAGGCACCGTTTCGGACTTGCAGCCCCAAGGCAGCACCTTGCGCCAGGTAAACCAGAACGAGGCCCTTCCAGAGCCAGGCGCATTTTGGGCGCCTGACTGCTGGCCTACTTTCGTCGGTACAGATGATGTTTCGGACCTGCAGGCCCCAAGGCAATACCTTGGGCCAGGTACACCGGGACCAGGCCTTTTCGAGGCCAGGTGCGTTTTCGTGCCTTGCTGCATCAGCAGCACGGTCTGGACACCCGGTAGGGGCCCAGACCAGCTGGGCCGTTCCAGGCCACACAGCAGCCTACCCAGTAGGGCCCGCGCAGTATATAGCTGGGCCTCACGCTGGGTACCGGACAGTTTGGAAGCTCACTTCTTGAGAAATACGCTGCTGGTTGGAGGCTGCGCCACTTAGCGCTGTGCTGCTGAGCTAGGGAGGAGAGGCGCATGAGGTAGAGAGAGGGAGCG